GTTGGAGTCCTCCGTCACTGAAGCAAGCAAGCCTCATGTTCGCTTTAAGCGGCCTGGCTGCCGGCCGCCTTCTTGGCTGGCAGTTAATTTGCAGATTGCCCTGATTAGCCAATGGGAAGGGTAGTGGTCGTACACTAATTACCATGTTTCTCTTTTATTAGATAGGATTTTTTAATTCTCACTTGAAGATATGGAGAGAAATGGAGAGGGAGAGGGAGAGAGAGAGAGAGAGAGGGAGGGAGAGAGAGAGAGAGAAAGAGATCAATTTATTGCCTCCCATACACGCCATCAAACCTGCAATCTAGGTATGTGCTCTGAACAGGGTTCAAATCCACAACACTTTAATAATACAGATGACATTGAGCTACCTGACTAGGTTCAGATGTTGTTTTCTCTTGATTTAGTCTTGGAAGGTTGTATATTTCTAAGAAATTATTCATTGCCTGGTTGTTCAATTGGTTGGCATATAATTGTTCCTAGTAATCCCATCTAATAATAGACAAAGATTCAAATTGACCATACCTTTGCTACACCCATCACTGGCTAAACAGAATGGTATGCAAATTAACCATGAACAAAGATGGTGGTTAATTTAGGTGCATTTGCACCTAACATTTAGGTGCAAAGCAGAGGAGCAAAGGCTGAAGGCAGCTCTAGCCAGAGCAGCGAGGGCTTGAAGGTGGTTCAGGTTGGAGCGAAGGCCTGGGTCTCGGGTGCCGGAGGAAAACCGATGCCAGCAGTCAGGGGAAGTGAGGGTCTATTGCATGAATCTTTTTGTGCAACAGGCCTCTATTCTATGTATATAAAAGCCTAAGTGACCGAACGACCGGTTGACGGGTCACTGTGACATGCATTGCCCACCAGGGGACAGACGCTCAATGCAGGAGCTGCCCCTTGGTGGTCAGTGTGCTGCCACAGTAGGAGTGCCACTCAGTTGCCTGATGGGTGCCAGATGCAGGGCTCACAGCTGGCGAGCCTTTCTCAATCACGACTAACTGGGCGTGAGCCTGCAGCAGGTGCAGTGGGGCCAGGCCAATTGGGTTTCAGCCTGATCCCTGCAAGCCATGCTGAGAGACGCCCTCTACCCCCTGACCAGTGCATGAATCTGTACACTGGGCCTCTAGTTTCTTATAATCCTTTGTTTCTGTGGTTGTAGCTGTCACTTTTTACATTTCTGATTTTATTAATTAAGGTTCTCATTTTTCT